GGATCATTAGGCGCGAGTGATCATGCTCTTCTGAAGTTTACTATACAGCGGAAAGGAGCAGCCAAGCATACTAGGACTCAATTTCTTGACTTTAAGAAAGCTGACTTCATAAAACTTAGGGAAGTGCTGGGTGAGATCCCATGGACAGTAATACTAAAAGGAAAGGGAGTTCATGATGGCTGGGAGTTTGTTAAGAGGGAGATAGTAAAGCACAACGTCAGGCAATACCAATGAGACGGAAAGATGGAAGGTGCCTAAAGAAGCCAGGGTGGCTATCTAAAGAACTTTTAACTGAGTTAAGATTAAATATTGATGTGTACATTAATTGTTAATGGGGGGAAACCACCAAAGAGGAATTCAAACAAATAGCCAGCACGTGTAGACACAAAGTCAGAAAAGCTAAAGCACAGAATGAACTCAGGCTTGCTAGAGAGGTTAAAAGCAACAAAAAGGCTTTTATGGGTATGTTCGTAGCAAAAGGAAGAACAAAGAAACAGTGGGGTCACTCAGAGGAGAAGATGGTGAAATGCAAACAGGGGACACAGAAAGGGCTGAACTCCTCAATGCCTTCTTTGCCTCAGTCTTCTCAGATAAAGAAAACAATTTGAAGACCTGAAGAATTTGGAGCAAATGATTCAGCAAAGGAAACACAGCCCAGAATAACTAAGGAGATAGTACAAGAATACTTGGCTAGTTTAGATGTATTCAAGTCTCCAGGGCCAGATGAACTGCATCCAAGAGTATTAAAAGAACTGGCAGATGTGATCTCAGAACCACTGGCAGTCATCTTTGAGAATTCCTGGAGAACAGGCGAAGTCCCGGCAGACTGGAGGAGGGCAAATGTTGTCCCTATTTTCAAAAAGGGGAAAAGAGAGGACCCAAATAATTACCGCCCAGTCAGTCTGACATCAATACCAGGGAAGATTCTGGAGCAGATCATTACGCAAACAGTCTGTGAGCACCTAGAAAGGAATGCTGTGATCACCAATAGTCAGCATGGATTTCTGAAAATAAGTCATGTCAGACTAACCTGATCTCGTTTTTGACAGAATTACAAGCCTGGTAGATGAAGGGAACGCAGTGGATGTAGCCTACCTTGATTTCAGCAAGGCATTTGACAAGGTGCCCCATGATATTCTTGTAAAGAAGCTGGTAAAATGCAGACTTGACTATGCTACCACTCAGTCGATTTGTAACTGGCTGACTGACCGAACCCAAAGGGTGCTCATCAATGGTTCCTCTTCATCCTGGAGAAGAGTGACTAGTGGGGTGCCACAGGGTTCTGTCTTGGGCCCGGTCTTATTCAACATCTTTATCAACGACTTGGATGATGGACTCAAGGGCATCCTGATCAAATTTGCAGATGACACCAAACTGGGAGGGGTGGCTAACACGCCAGAGGACAGGATCACACTTCAAAACAACCTTGACAGATTAGAGAACTGGGCAAAAACAAACAAGATGAATTTTACAGGGAGAAATGTAAAGTATTGCACTTGGGCAAAAAAATGAGAGGCACAAATACAAGATGGGTGACACCTGGCTTGAGAGCAGTACATGTGAAAAGGATCTAGGAGTCTTGGTTGACCACAAACTTGACATGAGCCAACAGTGTGACGCGGCAGCTAAAAAGCCAATGCAATTCTGGGCTGCATCAATAGGAGTATAGTATCTAGATCAAGGGAAGTAATAGTGCCACTGTATTCTGCTCTGGTCAGACCTCACCTGGAGTACTGTGTCCACTTCTGGGCACCACAGTTCAAGAAGGACACTGACAAACTGGAACGTGTCCAGAGGAGGGCAACCAAAATGGTCAAAGGCCTGGAAACGATGCCTTATGAGGAACGGCTAAGGGAGCTGGGCATGTTTAGCCTGGAGAAGAGCAGGTTAAGGGGTGATATGATAGCCATGTTCAAATATATAAAAGGATGTCACATAGAGGAGGGAGAAAGGTTGTTTTCTGCTGCTCCAGAGAAGCGGACACGGAGCAATGGATCCAAACTATAAGAAAGAAGATTCCACCTAAACATTAGGAAGAACTTCCTGACAGTAAGAGCTGTTCGACAGTGGAATTTGCTGCCAAGGAGTGTGGTGGAGTCTCCTTCTTTGGAGGTCTTTAAGCAGAGGCTTGACAACCATATGTCAGGAGTGCTCTGATGGTGTTTCCTGCTTGGCAGGGGGTTGGACTCGATGGCCCTTGTGGTCTCTTCCAACTCTATGATTCTATGATTCTATGTATTCAAAACTGGTGTCTTTTGAGACGTGTTGATTACGGAGCTATTTTTCAGAACGACCCGCCTGTTGCGCAGGGCATTTATTAGGGTCTGTTTATAGTAACTGAAACCGCAGTTGCCTTGAAAAAATTGCCTCCACCGTGGCCTTTTTTCTAGCTCACCCTCATCTCCCAGGCAGTGATGGAGAGCCCATGCAATGGTTAACTGGCACACCATCCTCTGGTCCCTAAGCTTATTGGCTGGCTTTGGGTCAGTCATGCTTCTCTCAGCCTACCCTACCTCACAAAGTTGTTGTGAGAATTAAATAGGTGTGTGTGTGTGAGAGAGGGGGGTATAGAATTAGTGTTTGGCCCTCCAGATGTTCCTGAACTACAACTCCCATGAGCCCCAGCATGGTCAGGGGTGATGGGAGTTATAGTTCATCTGGCAGGCCCAAGTTTCCCCATGCCTGGGTTAAATGAATAGATTTAAAATATTTTGATGGTCTAGCAATGTGCCTTCCACACAGTTAATAAGTGTAAGGATTTATTATTTTTAATCCAAGAGTTTATAGCAACAGGCAAAAACCATCTTAGAATAGCATTAAATGTTTTCTCTTTTGCTCTGGGGCAGGTGTGGGCAACCTGGTGAAACGGCAACATTGGCTAATATGAGTTGTACTTCAGCAGCATCTGGAGGGCCAAAAGCTTCCCTACACGTAACTGAACAGATTAGTTTATTGAACAGCATGGGCCTAATTATTATTAATTAATTTTTTTAATCATCGAAACTTTATCAGACAAGAAGCACATTAACAGCAAACGTGACATACACAACAAAACTCAACCGTGAACTTAGTTCTCACACTGTACTGTAAATTGCTACAGAGAGAGAAAAAACTGGAGCAACCAGAGGACACAAATAATTATCTTTACAGTGGTAGCTCAGGTTACAGACTCCGCTAACCCAGAAATAGTACCTCGGGTTAAGAACTTTGCTTCAGGATGAGAACAGAAATCGCGTAGCTGTGGCAGGAGGCTCCATTAGCTAAAGTGGTGCTTCAGGTTAAGAACAGTTTCAGGTTAAGAACGGACCTCCAGAACAAATTAAGTACTTAACCCGAGGTACCACTGTAGTCATAAGTAAATGAAATGCAGAGGTTCCATCAGCCCTCCCTTGTTTCCTGCCCCTAATATCCTCCTCTTTAAGATGAACTATTTCCCCACTAATATCCTCCCTATTTTCCAGGTATCCTTGAAAATGATAGAAGAAGAGATCTCTACTTTTAGAAAATGGACACATTTGTTTATTGTTTCTGGCCCAGAGAAATCTCCCGTGTGGACATTTTTCAAACAACAACAACCAGCCACTGTGATGAAGAGGAGGACATCAGTCACCCCCACCTCCAACCTCCGTTTGCAGACCTTTCGGTGCTCCTTTGAAAATATATATACTGGGTGTGGGGAATCTTCAGCTTTCCAGATGTTGCTGGACGACAGCTCCTATCATCAGTGGCCTTTGTCCAGGCTTGCTGGGCTGATGGGAGTTGTAGTTCAGCAACACCTGGAGAGCCAAAGGTTCCCTCCCCCACAACACCTGGTCTATATACAAGAACATGCTACCACGTACACCATGTTTTTTAATTTCCCTTTTGCTTGCCTTTTCAACAACCCTAATGCAGCATGCTTGGCACATGGGGACTCTTTCCATCTGGAAGACCCCCAGATCCTACTTTTCACACCAGCTGAAGCTTGCCATCAACTTCCAGAGTGTTTGCTGGCCATCAAAAGAGAAGAGAAGTGCCAGCTGTGGTGCAAGGCTGCAGGCGTAAAAACTCTATGGGGTGTGATAAGAAAGCCAGACCTTAGAGATCATTGTGTCAGTCTAGATTCTCCAATATCTGATATGTGTTAATGGATGTGAAAATTATTTGTTTTCCTGAAGAAACAAAATAAAAAAAATTCCTTCTAGTAGCACCTTAAGGACCAACTAAGTTTGTTATTGGTATGAGCTTTTGTGTGCGAAAGTTCACACCAATAACAAACTTAGTTGGTCTCTGAGGTGCTACTGGAAGGAATTTTTTAATTTTGTTTTGACTACAGCAGACCAACACGGCTACCTACTTGTTTTTCTGAAGAACATTCTCAGTTCACCCTGCTATAGATCCCTCAGCTCCTACTCTTCTCTAAAGGAGGAAAATTTAATAGAAAAAGATTATGTGACTGGAAGAAGTAAAAGGAGGGGGAAACACAGCAGTTTTCTTGTTAAATGCAAAGCAATGCATCTGCAGGCCCTTATTGAAAGGCAGAACTTGCACACTGATGCAACACTGCCTAATTTACACAAGAATCTGGGTTTTCTTGCTTTCAGAACCAAGCGTTGTTTTTGCAACAGAAATCACAATTGCCTGTTTCCATCTCTGGTTTACTAGAAGGGGGAGAGAGAGAGAGAGAGTAATCATTTTCTTTTTCCACTTTAAAAACCAGCACGAGCAGAAAATGCTATTTCTGCAGGTCTCCCTTGAGGGTGGAAAAAGTCAATAGTGTGTTCTCCGGGACACTGAGGTGTTGTCATACTTGCTGATGCTTTCATTCCTCTGGGCTTTGTATATTTCTCTCTTACTCTGGAAGACTTGGCAAAACATTAGATTGTACTGAGTTGCCACCATCTGGTGCTGCAGATATATATATATCTGGCTTCTGTTCCTCCCCAAAATTAAAATATGGCACTTCTTGTACTGTCAGCTCCCATCTGAGGTAAACCAGCAGTCACCAAGTTCTGAGTTGCTTAAAGTCTGGATGAACTGCAGCATCTAAATCGAAAGAGAATCCATGCATTGATTTATGAGCATCCTTCTCTCCGAAGCAAGTTGTCCTGCTTACATCTGCCTCAGCAGTAGCCAACCTCAAGGGCAGAGCTAGAGGTGTGTGACCGGTTTGGTTACACTGGGCATGGAGCTTCTGGGATGCAGCAGAAGGCCCACAACTATGAAGTTCAATGGAAGGCAAGAGGCAGGTGTGTGTGTGTGTCGTCACACAGGGCACCACTGAGATTTGAGATGCCAAGGTCTACTACTGCCAGCCTCTTCAGCAAGTGTGCCAAAGAGCTAAGCCTAAAGGACGAGTCAGATTCAGCACTTCAGATCAACCCCTATCCAAAGCAGGAAAATACTGAGCTGACCTGACTCAACCTGGATCTGGGCCCTGATTTGATTGGGGGGGGGGCATCCCTAATGCCTAATTGGGGTTTTTAACCCCTAATTAAATATGTGGTCAGGAATGGATGGGAGAAAGAGACACGGCATTTAATGTTGTGGGTGTCGCTTCTGTGGTGTCTTCCCTGCAAGGAATCACTGATGAAGCAGACCCAGCAGAGGCTACCAGCCTCTTCTCTTCCTTCCACCCTCCCCCAGCCTCATCACCTTGCCTTTCAACAGCCTCAGATCACTCTGGGTGGGTCCTGAGCAATCGAGGGCTGTCTCAACCAAAGTCAGGTGACCCTGTTTAGGATCTGATGCACAGTCCTACCGAGCAGGAAGTGTGCCTGGATAATTGGAAATCTGGTAGCTCCCCCCCCCCCCATTTTGTGACAAGTCTCTTACATTGTAGATTGACTAAGGAAGCACTTGTTTTCTTTAAATCTGTGTACAGTGCTTATTATGCATGCACTTGCTTAAATAAAATGCACTATTATGTTTATGTATATATATGTGTACCCACCAACTTGCTTCATGCATTAGGCAGAGGGTTTTTTTGGCCAAGTAAAACATGGTCCACAATAAGGGAGATTGTTCTTCATGGCATCAGCAGGGCAGTTAGGTAATCTTAGGGAAGCTTCCTCCAACCTGGGGCCCTCCAGATGTTGCTGGATTTCAGCTCCCATCAGCCCCAGTCAGCATGGCCAAGGGTGATGGACTCTGTAGCCCAGCTATTTGCTTCCCCAGCCCTGACTTACAGGGGTGCCTTTGAACAAAAAGAAGTTCCTCAAAATTGGATTAACAAACTATAGTTTGAAATATTTCAAAATGCAGCAGTAAATCCCTCACAGTTTAACACAAATTCAGAGCACTTGTAAAAAGATGAAACAAATTTGCAGCTTATGTTTCTGGGATCAATAACAACAATAATATTTATATGCCACCCCTCTGACTAGGTTGCCCCAGCCACTGGGGCCGTTCCCAACAAAATATTAAAAATACAGTAAAATATCAAACATTAAACACTTCCTGATTCAGGGGTGCCTTAAGATGTCTTCGGAATGTCGTGTAGTTCTTTATCTACTTAACATCTGGTGGGAGGGCATTCCACAGGGCAGGTGCCACTACTTAGAAGGCCCTCTGTCTGGTTCCCTGTAACCTCACTTCTCGCAGGGAGGGAACCACCAGAAGGCCCTCGGAGCTGGACCTCAGTGTCTGGGCTGAACGATGGGGGTGGAGACGCTCCTTCAGATATACAGGGCCAAGGCTGAATAAAGTCTGTGGGTGTTTTCAACACAGTCCTAATTTCTTGAGTTATCATTAGAGCACCTTTGGCCCTCCAGATGTATTTGAACTACAGCTCCCAACATCCCTGGCTATTGGCCTTGCTTGCTAAGCTGCATGGAAGCTGTAGTTTAGTGACATCCACAGAGCCAAAGGTTTCTCACACCTTCCTTAGAGGATAAAGGAGGACAGAGAAAATATGCCGCCCTCTCTCTTTGCTGTTGCTGCTTGTTTGCCTGTGGTTGGGTTGGCACCATGATTTTCAAGTCAGTAAATTGAAAGCAGAATGGTCTCTGCATATTGTCCCACACCCCCAAAGTGCAAGCAGCAGGTAATAGTGTCAGGACTGCAGGTTGCTAGTAATGGAAGAGCCTTGCGCATCTAAACCTATGTAACCCATCATCCCGTTCTCTCAGCGGCTAACCAGATACCGTAATGGGAAGGACCTGAGTGCAAAAGCCGTTCTCCACACGACTTCCAGCAAATAGTATTCAGAAGCTTCTTGCCTCCAGCAGCAGCAGCAGCAGCAGCCGTCGCCCATCAGAACCCTGTTAGCTGGGAGATGTTGCCTACTTTATTGTGTTTGTTTTGGGGTGTGCTTAGTAGATGTTTTGCCTATTTGTTTTGGGGTGGGTCTCAGTATTCCCACTTTTCTTCAGTGAAATGGGTGTTCTGTGGCAACCATGACAGTTTCTTACATGTCCAAATGTGCACCTAAACCCACAAAAGTTGCGGACTGCTGGCTTACCCAAGTTTGCACCATAGTAGCCAACCTGAAGCCGGCACACAGGATGCAAGAGCTCCCACTGTTATTCCCCACAGCCACAGAGGTTTTCTTCATTCTGAGGGAATTGAACAGACCTCTGCAGGCTCAATGACTGGGCTGGCAGGTGGCTTTGAACTTTATGGCTATGCTCAAATGGCTTGTCTTGCTTAGACTGACTCTCTGGGGGAAAGTAGGATTGTGAAGAGGCACATCAGACAAGGACAAGTGTCTAGTAATCCTCTTTCAAGAAGCTACTAGAGGCAACTTAAAGGCAATGAAAGAAGTCACCAGACATGAACAAAGACAGATGCCCATAAAAAAAAGTTGTGGTCACATGATGTCTGGTTTATAGCGCCTGCTCCAAAACTCACCCGAAAGTTACTCATCACTCAGAAAACTAGCATGATAGTTACTTTATGCTGATTTTCCTGATGATGTAGGATTTGATCCAACTAAGTTTTACTCAAGAGTTAGGGATAAAGGAAGAAATTAAATTCAGCTTACATTTAAAGGTGAGCCTATCTAATTGCAGTCTCTGAAATAATACATGAAACAGAATTTTGCCCATTGTGAAATTGAGAGAAATAGGCAGGACACGAATTGAAATTAATGGATGTAAACCCTGTCCTTACTTTCCAGTGCATCTACTTTGAGTAAAAAGTAGCAGGATAGAACCCACAGATGGTTAATAAGATGATCTTTGAATTTATAATTTTATTGGCAAACTTTGCTGGTTTAGCTTTGGATCCTCAAAAGCAGGCATAGGCAAACTCCAGCCCCCCAGATGTTTTGAGACTACAATTCCCATCATCCCTGACCACTGGTCCTGTTAGCTAGGGATGATTGGAATCGTAGTTCCAAAACATCTGGAGGCCGGAGTTTGCCTATGCCTGCTCAAAAGCAAGTGCCTAGACAGGGCACCATCTTGCCCAAATTCAGCACTTTACATGTTTACCCAGAAGCAGTGTTAGAAACTGAGATATGAAAACTAGGAGCTAAATGGCACCTTAAACCTAGGTTATGGGTGCAACAATGGAATGTCTAGGTGTGCTTTTTTATAACAAGAATACAAAGCTGAAAATGAATAAACTGCAGCTAAAATATTACGTTCATTTTTCACATGGTCTCTAGTCCTTCCCCTGCCTACCCCCCTAATATTATTAAGAGGGTCTCTTCTCCAGTCTTCAGAGAGTAGCTGGAAGTGGGGAGGCAGAAAAATGGTCCTCCTTTCCTTCCACTCTGCAGTTTTAATCTGAAATCTTAGGGGCAGTACTGCGTCCAGAGCTCAGAAGCTGCTCACGCTAATGAAATCCTTGTTGCAAAATGCGCCTAGAACAATGGGAGTTTCGAACACTGCCCAGAAGCAAGTACCACTGTGCTCAATGAGGCCCAGAGACATATGCAGCCCTATAATGGGAAAGTTAAGTATTTGCTTAAATCTCTCTCTCTGTCTCTCCCACACACATACACCAGAATTAAAATAAATCTTATTTTGGTTGCATCATGCCAGTTGTCACTAGGAAAACTCTAAGCAGGACCTGCCACATTCCTACCACACACACTTGTGATTGCTGGAGAAAAGCAATACCTTTCCTTCTCCTGAATTAGTTTATGCATGTGCTACTTTAAACCACGGACGGGGTGAGCTCCCGTTGCTTGGTCCCTGCTCCTGCCCACCTAGCAGTTCGAAAGCACGTCAAAGTGCAAGTAGATAAATAGGTACTGCTCCAGCGGGAAGGTAAACGGCGTTTCCCTGCGCTGCTCTGTTTCGCCAGAAGCGGCTTAGTCCTGCTGGCCACATGACCCGGAAGCTGTACACCGGCTCCCTCAGCCAGTAAAGTGAGATGAGCGCCGCAACCCCAGAGTTGGCCACGACTGGACCTAATGGTCAGGGGTCCCTTTACCCTTTACCTTTTTTACTTTAAACCACACGAGGGCACTATTTGTCTTGCAAGCTAGCCAGCACTTGCTTGTAGTCTTCACTTTGTCTAAGACTCTAAGTTAATTCCACCCCTAAAAGTAGAGCCATTATTTGTTTGTTGTCCTCTTCCAGCTTGTTGAGATAGGATTTCTGCTATTTCTCTCTCACCTCTGCTTATCTTGTAAATAGTCCATTCTGTGGTTAAAGCCTTTGAACTCCAGAAACTGTAAGTGATCTTTTCAATCCAATTCACCCAAGATGCAAGGTCTCTTAATGTTGATGCCCAGGCATTCAGAGGCATACTGCCTCCAGCAGTGAAGGAGGAAGACAGCCTTCATGGCTGTAGCCACCGATAACCTTATCCTTATGAATTTGTCCAAATATACGAACCTAAGGATTCAAAGGACTGTATGAAATTAAGAATCAGGAGCCAACTTCAGGCATCCGATGATGTGGATGTTATTAGGATGCTGCAGTACTTGTGAGCCCTGCAATCCAAGGCTCCCAGTACTTTCACTTCGTAGATCAGTCCCTCATGAATTTGGTCAAACTCTTAACATTTCACATAATGTAAAGATTATGGGGGATCTAGTCCCCAACCCAAGCTCACAATATCACCACCCCCCAGCAATAAGTATCTGACCCAGCTGTGGGATCTGTAAAATATTTGTCTCATAGAGAAATAACGAAAAAGTGAGTAAGGCATCTAGAAGCATTAGATTTCATACATCAAAGCTACACGTCTCTCCCAAGGCAGCACGTGCTGACACCTTTCTCGCATCTTCTCCAGCCTTCTTCCTTCATTCTGGGCGCATGTTCCAGTCAAATCTGCATTTCAAAAACAGTTTTCAAACACAACAATAGTTATCAGAGTAATTCTAAACGCATTAAGCAGCGTGATTTATAAAAAAAACCCTTCGCCGTATTTCCTGGCAAATAATGCTCCTTACATCCACGTCTTCGTTGTGCGGCTAGAGGTCTTTTCCTTTTACCGATCTGGAATTGTCTGCTGTCACTGGACAGCCTCGAGCTCTAGTATTATGAAAAGTGGAATGTGTGTGTGTGTGGGGGGGGGTTGGTCCTTCCCTCTATTTGCTCCACCCGATGTTGAAGACCCTTCCTGTTTCCGCTCGCAAAGGCGGCGAAGCGAAAGTGAAAAGGAGGCGTGGTTCGGACCACTCAACTACGGCGGAGCAGGTGGAGCAGTCTCTCTCTCCTGGAAGGGAGTTCCCATCCCTTCATTGTCCCGCCGCTGCTTTTGACTGAGCCGGAGGAAATGTATAAAACCTGCCGCGCCAAAGCCGCTTTGTTTGGTGATCCGCTGCGTAACAGCCGTGCCGAAAGCGCGCAGGACTCCCGCTCTTCCTTACAGGGAAAGATAGTCTAGAGTCTAGACTTCCTGCTATATTGGAAAGGCGCGGGGAGAGGGGCGCGGGAGGCAGAGCTCTCTCCGCGCAAGGCTTGCTTTCTGCACTGCCTTGCCGGGTAAGGGTGGGGGTCGTTGTCTTTGGTTCCCCTTTGCAGGCACAAGAACGGTCCCTCTGGCCCGCCAAGGGGTAGGGCTTTGTTAAAGGCGGTTGCGTGAGGCTGGGGGGGGGGGGGGGGCGTTGTGCCATAAACAAAACGAGGGCTCATGCCGGCCTCTGGTCTCCTCGCGTGTCTTCATAAGTGTAAAGGCACAGGGATCCCCGTGCGTGCGCTGGCACCACTAGGACAGGGCACAACTTTGCGCAGCATTACTTCGCATTAGAAAATCGTGGCGAGGCAGGAGGGGCAACCCTTGAAAGGTGCGCCCCTTCAACTCTTCCCTGTGTCTCCGGCTCAAGGCAGGGTGCACTGCTGCGCGAATACGTGTACTTGAGGGCTTGATTGGAGAAGGTGCTCCGGGAAGGTTAGGGCAGAGCCAGCTGCTGCCCACACGCCTCTCTGGGAACTGTGCTGCTCGAGTGTTAGGCTGCCCTAAGTCGCGAGGTGCCCTGACAATTTCTGCCAAATCCGCACCCCGAAGGCTTGGAGCAGCGTCAAGGCGCGGCGCTGCTGTCATGCTCTTGGCGCTGGGCGACCGGAGCCTCAACCTTTCCAACCAGAGCGCGGCGGGAAGCGCCGGTAACTTGAGTTTCGACAGCCAGCTGCTAGCCTCTCCTGCTGGGAGCCTGGGACGGACGGGACATCTGACGGTGGCTGTGTGCCTGGGCGTCATCTTGCTCCTGGGCAGCCTCGGCAACCTCCTGGTGATGCTGATCTTCGTCAAGTTCCAGGCCATCCGGACGCCCATCAACCTGATCCTGCTCAACATCAGCCTCAGCGACCTCCTGGTCTGCGTCTTCGGGACCCCTTTCAGCCTCGCTTCCAGCGTGCGCGGCCGTTGGCTCCTAGGCAAGGCCGGCTGCAAGTGGTACGGCTTCGCCAACTCCCTCTTCGGTAGGTTTTTAGAGCAAGGCTCTGGTTTGGGGGAGGAGGCGCGTGGAATATTTGGGAAAGCAAGAGGGGTTTGCCTTTAGGGTACCCAAAGTTCCTGCGTTGTTTTAAACATCGAAATTTCTGAAGCTCCAGTTCATTTATGTATTAATTTATTAGATTTAACAACCACCTTTCTCCTCCACAATTCTAAAGATCTCCTTCCCTATGAGGTAGGCAGATAGACTGGCCAAAGGTCACCCAGTGCCAGTGTGATTCATGGCTGAGCTGGGATTCAGACCCTGGTCTCCCATAGTCCAATATGCCAGCTGTTACAGCACCCTGGCTATGTGGAGACCACACCAGAGAAAGACATAGAGTAGACCCAGCCTTGACGAAAGCTATGTGCTGGGCTTGGTCCCATTCACACCAGTAAAGTGCTCCGGAACAGTCATGGAGAATCCTGGGGACTTGTTAAGCGTGATAGGAATTGTCACTCTGTGAGGCCAGCACCCTTTAACTACAGTTCCTTGGGGAAAACCATTGCTGTTAAAGAGTGCTTTAAATGTATGGGGTAGATCTGACTTTTCATTTCTGGCCCCCCAAATTTAGCAAATTGTATGAGTGATGCAAGTTTTCATAATTGCTTCTCTTATTTTGCCCAATTTATGCTGCATTTAAAAACTATTATTTGTATAATTTACTGTTGCTTTGCTGGTCGTGGAGAAAGGCAAATAGTTATTCCAAGCCCTTGGGTGACTTTGTCCGCTGTACCAAGACCGTTGGCAATTTTACTCTGCAACACCTCCAGACTTTCAAAACTGTTCATGCACTTTCAAGCCATTCAGGAATCTTAGGACTCAGCCATACAGCTGCAAACGTTTTAAGTGCATTATACAAACGTTACACTAGATGGCGATGGCGAGCTTTTGACCAATTCAATCTCTTTTTAAAACTTTTTTTTTAACGTTTTCATAGCATTTTTTATATGTGCCTAGATTCCACCCTAGACAGTCTCCATTCTGTGTACTGACCAGACCTAAACCTTCAATATGCCCACCCACCATGTGTGTCCTGGGACCTTGACCTTTCTGTCTTTCCAAACATGCATTTGCTGCATTCACAGGTCACATTTTTTGGGGTGTACATCTAAAGATGCAATGTGTGAAATGACCATAAACAGCCACTAATCTTTAAGGTCAAAAGGTGTCAGAATCTGGGGGTCTGGCAGGGTGGTGGATCTGAAAGCCCAGGCCAGCCCTACCGTTAGGTTGAGTGGGGTGGGGTGATTTTGGGTGTCATGAAAGGGCAGCTAATTCTTAGTAGTTTTATTTACTACCATTGCATTTGTACTCCTAGGGAGAGACATCTGTACAATTTTCTGTCTCAAGTGCCAAAATACCTTTGCCTGCCCTGTGGCTTAACTTTGGGCAGGGGGCAGGGCTACCTTTGTCTACCTCACCTTGGGCAGTAACACATCTTGGTTTGGTTCCAGATGACCTGCATTCATCCTGATTTGTTTGCAGAATGCTTGAGGGGAGGTTAGATGAAACCAGCAATTTACACATTGCTGTTTCTTATTTCTGTGTGGGGAAATTAGATGGCAAGCACACTTTCAAGAGCGTTTCCGCATCACTTTCTCTACTGCAAAAGTCCAGTTTTCAGGAGGAAACAAGTTTGTTGCACAAGAATGAAATCAACTTTAATTGTGCAACCTGAAAATAGAAAACACCTCTGGACCTGCCATGAGTTGAGCTCAGTGGTTGATCTCTGAGCTGCTAGGGGCATCTCTGCAAATGTATTAACTGCCCCTAAAATTCCAGCTTCTTTCAAATATGGCTATCATTTTTGATGCCAGCAGGGTTGTAGGATAAAGCATCAATGTGCAGCCTGATTCTGCACTAATCTCCTGGGCATCTGTACCTCTGTAGCTCATCCATTGTTCATGATATTATCCGTATGTGACACAGTTAATCTCTAGCTGGGATGTGTCACAGTCCATCTGCTTCAATCAGAAGCATGACTTCTCCTGCATGCACTCTTTCCTCTTTGCAGGGACTGGCTACCTTTCAACACATGTCTCACAAAGGAATTTTGTGTATGAAGATGCAGAGAACCATAAAGGCAAGACCTAGCCTTTATTGAGGGATAGATGCAAGATGAGATCTACCAGCTCTGAAATCAGGAAACAGGAAACAAACTTCCCAAAGATCACAGAGTCTGGCTTTTTTCCTTGTGAGAAGGTTATTTTCTATGTTTTTATGATGCCAATTTGCAAACAAGCAGGAGAAGCCAGCATGGGTGAAGAGGACGGCAACTAGTTCTGGCCTCTAAATATATGTAGGGCTGGTGCCAGCCTATTTTGCATCCTAGGCTAGGCTAACTACAGTGGTACTTCGAGTTACAGACGCTTCAGGTTACAGACTCCGCTAACCCAGAAATATTACCTCGGGTTAAGAACTTTGCTTTAGGATGAGAACAGAAATCGTGTTCTGGCGGCGCGGTGGCAGCAGGAGGCCCCATTAGCTAAAGTGGTGCTTCAGATTAAGAACAGTTTCAGGTTAAGTACAGACCTCCGGAACGAATTAAGTACTTAACCCGAGGTACCACTGTACTTGCATTCTCCAGCCCCAATTGCTAAATTCAATTTTCAGAAACAGGTGTCTTGTAGAAAAACTGAAGTGCACAAAACTTGAAACTGCTAAATTTATTTTAAATTGCAAGAGTACATCATACAATAATAATTATTGATTATTTCAAATACAAAAGGAAATGTTTCAACATGCAAATCATCTTGAATAATCTTGTGAATTTTGACATCAAAATTTAAGTCTCTTAAAAGTTTCCATTTCAGGCGCATCAAAATCTCACTTTGTGTGACTTTTCCTTTGCAAATTTTGTCACCTTCAGGTCAAGTGAGGATGCATGGGCATGTTCAATTGATATAGTTGCCAAGTTTTTATCCGTTTGAGCTTTGACACTGGAAATGTGAGAAGGATCCTTAGATTAACTGAAACATTAAAAAAAGGTAAAGGACCCCTAGATTGTTAAGTCCGGGCAAAAGCAACTATGGGGTTGTGGCACTCATCTTGCTTTCAGGCTGAGGGAAATGGCATTTGTCTGCAGACATCTTTCCAGGACATGTGGCCAGCAGGACTAAACTGCATCTGGCACAATGGAACACTGACGGAAGTCAGAGCACACGGAAACGCAGTTTATCTTCCCACCTGAGTGGTACCTATTTATCTATTTGCACTGGTGTGCTTTCAAACTGCTAGGTTGGCAGAAGCTGGGACCGAGCAACGGGAGCTCACTCCATTGTGGGGATTTGAACCGCCGACCTTCTGAATGGCAAACCCAAGAGGCTCAGTGGTTTAGAATACAGCACCACCTGTGCCTTATCCACACTTCCTGTTGTCCCATTGCTTTTCCCCCAGGGAAAACCACTCTTTAGTGCTCAGTCGGAGCAAACAGCAATTTGCTCCAGTCCAGATGGTTTTACTTTATTAATCAGACATAGCTCACTAGAAAAATGAATACCTTTTCAAACAAAGATTATGATGTGACCGTAAGATTTAAAATTAAGTGATTTTCACTTTGTATGTGTGTGTGTTTGTGAACATAACTTCCAATCAACTCCCTATTTTAAGTATACATTTAAAAAACAATTCTAATGTATAATGCATTTTACCTAAAATCAAAATATAAAATAAAAGTAAAATATCATAATAAATTTATAATATATTACAAGAACTAATCTGTATAAAACTGTGCCCTTCAAAGGTCAGTTCTGCACCTGTTTGACCTCTATACCCCATCTGGCTGCCTAGTTTGCCTGATCATAGCACTGGTCCTGAGAAAATGTCAGTCACCCACCCAAAAAAACCCAGCATGTGTGGTTCTTGCAACTGTACAAGGCTGCTTTTCGTTTAGCTAACTGCAAAACTTCATCCCAGCTGTCAAGCTCTTTCCCCTTCAGACCTTCACCAGTGGGGTGTGTTAAATATTTAGGAGCCATCAGCTGGCAAGAAAACAGAATGCCTGTTCACTTTATGTCACAGAGCAGGGTTCAAGGCACAATGTTATTAAGATCAGCTTTGCCTGCTTGCAAAACTCCCCCCCCCCCCCCAGCATGATTGATATAATTATTATTAATTATCCATGAAACTTACTAGTCACTTTATGGACAAATTTAACTGCAAGCAACTTACGGCAATAAACGAATGACACATACATTAAAGCCTGCATTAAAAAAACAAAACCCAGAGAAAAAGCTAAAACTCACCCAAAGTTTTAAAAGGCAAGACGAAAACATCCCACCCCACCCAAAATGTTAAAAGCCAAAGGCTTGGCAGAAATGAATAATAAATAATATAACAAACTTTTATTTATATTCTGCCCTCCCTGGCCGAAGTTGGGCTCAGGGCGGCTAACATCAGGTATATAACATTGGTAGAAAATCAGACAATACTTAAATTACCTCTTAAAAACAGGTCAAAATCAAATTAAAGTTTAATTAGATGGCTTTCCGCAGGGTTAGGGTTGGGAACAGTAAGTGCTCATCGGCCCAACTGTTTACGCTGATCTTATATGGGCCTGTGAGAATGCTGGGAGGCCTCTTTCATATTAGTTCTTATACTAAAAGAAAAGGGGAGTCAGGCTGAGCCCTGACCAAAGGCTGTCTTGCAGGCCCTGCGGAAAGATGTCAAATCCCTCAGGGCCCTGATCTCTTGTGGCAGAGCGTTCCACCAGACCGGGGCCAAGGCCGAAAAGGCCCTGGCCCTGGTTGAGGCCAGACTAGGGGCCCAGGATCTCCAAGGTGTTATTATTTGCAGACCGTAAGGTACGAGGGTCCTAGGCCGTATAGAGCTTTAAAAGTTAAAACCAGCACCTTAAACTTGACCCTGTACTCCACCGGGAGCCAGGGCAGCTGGTATAGCACTGGATGAATGTGATCCCGCGGTGAAGACCGCGTAAGGAGTCTCGCCACGGCATTCTGCACCTGCTGGAGTTTCTGGATCGGTCTCAAGGGCAGCCCCACATAGAGTGAGTTACAATAATCAAGCCTGGAGGTGACCGTCGCGTGGATCACAGTGACAAGATCAGGGTGAGAGAGGTAAGGGACCAACTGTTTAGCACCGCAGAGAAATGTTTTTTTTCTTCCTGGTGCATAATGGTAAGTAATGATGGTGCCTGGCAAACCTCCTTGGGGAGAGTATCCCGCAAACAAGGAACCACCACTAAAAGGCCCCTTCTTGTGCTTCCCCCCCTCCAGACCCCCCCCCCCTTGGAAGGGGCACATGGAGAAGGACCTCTGGTGACAATTGCAGGTTATGGTTTAGTACATAGCAGGGAGAGGTATTGAGTCAGTGTGGGGTAGTGGTTAAGAGCAGTAGACTTGTAATCTGGTGAACCGGATTCGCGTCTCCGCTCCTCCACATGCAGCTGCTGGGTGACCTTGGGCCAGTCCCACTTCTCTGAAGTCTCTCAGCCTCACTCACCTCACAGAGTGTTTGTTGTGGGGGAGGAAGGGAAAGAAGATTGTTAGCCGCTTTGAGACTCCTTCAGGTAGTGATAAAACTCCTTCAGGTAGTGACAAATTCTTCTTCTTCTTCTTCTTCTTCTTCTTCTTCTTCTTCTTCTTCTTCTTCCGCTGGATATCATCTGTCTTCCAATGTCACAGGTTTACATTCCAGCATTCGAAAAGCAGATCTTTGATCTGTTAACTCTGGGCCGCTCTCTCTCTTGCAGGCATCGTTTCCCTTGTGTCTCTTTCCATCCTCTCCTACGAACGCTATGCCACGGTCCGGCAGAGGCAGGCCAATCCGGTTGTGTCCAGTTACACCAAGTCCTGGCTTTGCATCATTGGGTCCTGGATCTACTCTTTGTTCTGGACCTTGCCGCCTCTTTTTGGCTGGAGCAGCTATGGCCCCGAAGGGCCCGGCACGACCTGCTCTGTCTCTTGGCATGCCAAGTCTCCCAGCAACTTCTCCTACATCATCTGCCTCTTCATCTTCTGCCTTGTCTTGCCCCTCCTGACGATGATCTACTGCTATGGGAAAATCCTGCAGATGATTAGAAAGGTAAACCAAAGCCCCCTAACCTCTTTGACAGAATGTGGTGGTGCAGTCATGTGTGCGCACATGTCACGTTGCTGGCCTGAGGTTGTTAGCTTGGATTTGTTAGGAGAGGCAGGTGTGACTCTTGTTTGGAGCTGTGTCTAGGAGCTCTTTCATCTTCACCTCTGAGAGCAATTCCTTATGAAACATGCTTCAGAGTTAAATGGCTAGAACAGGGAGGCCAGCGATTTAGGGGAAACAGAAAAATCAGAAGGGCTCCCACAGAGGATTGTGCAACTTGCACAAAATGTCTCCCTCCCCTTATTTATAGAATCCTACTTCAAGAGAGAAGAACATTTACTTCTGGTGTAAGCTTATGAATGGTTGAATCACAGCGGCATTTTTAAGCTCCCAGGGATTGAGAGGTAGCTGTGAATTCTAACAGCTGGCAGTTGTGTAAGAGCCGAAAGTTGCATACTGCGACTTGAGAAAAATCACAGGGACAATGAGACAATTACTGTCATTGACTTTTTTTTTAAAGAAAGAGCAGAGCCTCCAGAAATGATTTTTGTGAATAGAAGCAGATTAACAGCAAGGGTAACATGGGAAGCAGTGTGATATATTCTCCTTATATAAATAGCAAAGGCAATGCCAGGCTTTGAACATATTCTTCTGCTCAGATCCTGCTTGTGGGCGTCCCATAATGGGCCTCAGGATGCCCAACTCAATGGGCCACTGGTGGCTCTTATGTTCTTGCACACCCAGGAAGCTGTCAGAGGAAACTGAAGGAGCTGCTTGTTAATAAATACCTTTGCTACTGGGACATCTCCTGAACCACACAGACAGCCCCAGGTTTCAGAATGTTGTTCTAAAGACTTAAAGGAGCTAGTGCAAAAAAATGATTTGGGGAATGACCTGCGCTTGGGTAAGGTGGTACAGAGTGCAATGAGGAAGAAACTCTATGAAAATGTCCCCTCTCTCATATTTTAGCAGGTCTGTAGATTCCACCTGACATCTGTTCAGAAAAGAGAACACCACGTCCTGTTCATGGTTGTGTCAATGGTCACCTGTTACCTCCTCTGCTGGATGCCATATGGAATTGTCTCCCTGATTGCGACATTTGGCCAGCCCGGAACAATCAGCCCCTCAGTGAGCATTATCCCGTCCATTCTGGCCAAGACTAGCACGTTTGTGAACCCCATCCTTTACGTCCTCTTGAACAAGCAGGTAAGAACATGATAGCATATCATGGGAACATCAGAAGAGCCCGGTGGAGCAGATCATGGAGAATAACCAGGCAGCACAGCATTATTTTGGGTCAAATCAGGCTGCAACTTTATTGACTGCAGATGTAAGAGGTTTGGCATAGGCATTGGGTACAACCATTGGCTTCCAGTGTCCTAACCTCTCCCTCTGCTCTCCCTTTTCTAACTTCTGCTGTGCATCCATTTGCTGCTACAAACACAGTTTCTCATTGACTGACATACAGTATTATAATTGTGCTCAACAACAATGCGTTGTGCTGCCTGGCTCTGCAAATCCACCCGCCTCTCCCCATCATCTTTCCCCCAAGGTATGTTTAAGCTTTAAATCACCAACTCTCACCTGCTGCTCATGACTTGGCAGGTTGCTGCTGCAGCACTGCTTGCGGCTGTGTGTGTGTAGTGTACAATTTTAGCACTATTGTTATTCTGCTCTGTTTTGAACCAAAATATTTCAACAGCTGGGATGATTTGGGAAAGGGCTTGAAAAAGCATGTGCAGAAAAAGCATCAAAGGACTGTTTGAGAAGCTTTAGCTGTGAGCATTTTTGTGACCTGCTAATGGCAAAACGGGCAACTTAGCATGTGGCTCGTTCTACAGATAAAATCTGCGCCTCCTTTTTTAAATAGCTGCAAGGGTGTTTCTCACGCTTCCTATTCTTAGGTGCAGTTAGGGATTTGGAGATTGAGAAAGGTTACCTCTGAACCAGACCATTGAATCATAAGTCTGGCTGCTGGATCAGACCAAAGGACCATCTTGTTCTCACAGCAGCCAAAAAGTTGCCCTAAAAGGTCACAAGGGTCATCTAGTCCAACCCCCTGCAGTGCAGGAGTCTTTTGCCCAACCTTGGACTTGAACCCACAACCCTGAAATTAAGAGTCTCCTGCTCTACCGACTAAGCTATGGGGCGATGGGTCTTAGTATTGCCAGTTTTCTTCTGCAAAATGAGTATTTTGTGGTGCCCATGGAAGTTTATTAGCTTTCTGAATGTGGAGCTGATATTCATAGGCATACAGCCCCCATCAGCAGTTGGAGAGCACAGCTATCCTGGATGCCTGGAAGTTTTCCTGCTTGAGCCCCAGGGTCAGTTTCAGGTTTGACGTCATCCAGGCGTAGCAGGCCTTGGCAGGCTTACTTGACTTTGGCGGAGGTTCTCGGAGCAGTGCTGAGTCCCTGGGTAGAGCCACCCTTTCTGTTCCCCACGACACTCTGGTGTGGTGCTAGGTTGGGTGCTCTGTGGGAAATCAGTAAGGGCAGCCAGATCCAGAAAACTGGTGCTGCTGAAAGAGTCAGGCTGGTGGGGAAAATGAAGAAGGGGTCCAGGGCAGGAATCAGCAATGGCCTCCGAAAACTCCCCAAGAATGCCTGGCAGGGCTCCTTGGAAGGGAGGCAGTGAGAGACTGCTGGTGCAGCCCTGGCTCATTTTAGTGGGGCTTTCGTGAGAGAGCATCCAGGGAGATCTACTAGGGCCAGAGCCCAGTGGCAGAGCACCTGCTTTCCATGCAGAAAACCCCAATTCAGTCCCCAGCATGAAACTCTGGGAAGCCACTTCCAGTCAGTGTAGACCATGGGTAGGCAACCTAAGGCCCACGGGCCGGATCTGGCCCAATCGCCTTCTCAATCCGGCCTGCGGACGGTCCGGGAATCAGCATGTTTTTACATGAGTAGAATGTGTGCTTTTATTTCAGATGCATCTCTGGGTTATTTGTGGGACATAGGAATTCGTTCATTTATTTATTTTTTCAAAATATAGTCCGCCCCCCCCAAGGTCTGAGGGACAGTGGACCAGCCCCCTGCTGAAAAAGTTTGCTGACCCCTGGTGAAGACATTATTGAGCTTGGTGGACGAATACCCTGGCTCTGTATAAGGCAGCTTCCCAGGCTCCTGTGATATGGCTCAGACTTGTGCCCAAGTGGGTTCATCAGTGAGGGAGGGGCATGTTTTGTTTTGCATTTGATGATTAGTAACATCCCCACCCCGCTTCATGCTTTGAATTATAATAGAATTCAATAGAAGTGGGGGGGGGGGGGTAGCTGGCAGCAGTAAGGAGCTGGGAGGGGCACTGGTGAGTTCTGTGCCCCTACCCCACAGGCTTCAACTTCAAATTCTAGCCCTGGAGAAAACTGGAATTCCCCCTCTGCTTTTGCAGACTGTAACTAGGGCTGCAAAAGTCCAAAGGGGTATGTGTGGGTTTTTTGCTATTCCCTTGCTGGGGCAGTACTCTTGAGCCCATGATGCTGAGTTTAGTGATTCACCACAGAACTGCATGTTCCTTGCTCCACATCAGGGCTAAGCTCTAGCTGGTGCCAGCTAGAGTTCCCACACAAACTATAATTTGTAACCATGGTTTGAAGCTGGCTCAGCAAACCCTGGTTTAGACCAACCTTGGTTCATGTTAACCCCAGCTGATTCCAGTGAACCATAAAAGGGAGGGAGAATTTGTGTGTGATTGGGAAGAAGAGAGAATGGTGCATATTAGAACATACCACCAGCTTGCAAAACCCAGACTTTGGTTTGGGGACAGGTGGTGCTTACAGCTGAACTGGGTTTCTGGAGATAAGTTTGTGGTGGAGCACATGCTTTGTATGGGGAAACTCACAAGTTCACTCCAGGCATCTCCAGTTTAAAAAGGATCAATCAGATGGGAACAAACCCTTCTCAGCCTGGGCTCTTGCAGGAGCACTGCCAGTTAAAGCAGATCAGGGATTAGGGTCCTGTGGCACACCAGGTGTTTTTGGGCTCCAGCACCCACTGGCCCCAGGCAGCAAGGCCACTGGTCGGGAATGGAAGGATTTGGAGTCTAGCAACATCTGAGGAGCCAAGGAATTCCCCCTACTGGTAAATTAGAAACCAGGCATAAATGTCAGCATTGCCATTGGTGGCCACAAGGTGGCAGCAAGCAACTATGGTTTCTTCAGAAGCCCCGGGAATCTGCCTGCTGTTAGCAATAGTATACTGAGCTAGGATGCTTGCTGCTGTGACCCAGTCAGTGTTTTCATAGAATCATAGAACTGTAGAATTGGAAGGGAACACGAGGGTCATTTTGTCCAACCCCCTTCAGTGCAGGAACCTAAACTCACAACCCAGAGATTAAGAGTCTCATGCTCTGCCAATGGTGCTCTCCATAGAGCTGAGGGCCATTGAGAGCCTCACATGAAGGGGTGGGCTGGCTATTCAAGCTGCCTCAGGGGAAATGGGACTGGTTTTCCCACGTGTTTATCACCTGATGTATGAAACACAGGAGGACAAACAGCCTGTGTGAAGGAGCTGATCGGCATTATGTACAACAAAAGCAGCTTTAAACAGCCATGTCTTCCCCCAGAGAATCCTGGGAACTGCAGTTTGCAAAGGGTGCTGATTGCTGGTAGGTATTCAGAACTCTATGATTCCCAGCGTGCTTTAACAATCCATCCCTCTTTGCAGAGAACGCTGGGAACCGTAGCTCTCTGAGTGGAATAGGAGTCTCCTAACTTGCTTAAAAAGCAGAGACATCACCTTGCCGACAAAGGTCCGTATAGTTAAGCCATGGTTTTTCCAGTAGTGATGTATGGAAGTGAGAGCTGGACCATAAAGAAGGCTGATCGCCGAAGAATTGATGCTTTTGAATTATGGTGCTGGAGGAGACTCTTGAGAGTCCCATGGACTGCAAGAAGATCAAACCTCTCCATTCTTAAGGAAATCAGCCCTGAGTGCTCACTGGAAGGACAGATCGTGAAGCTGATGCTCCAATACTTTGGCCACCTCATGAGAAGAGAAGACTCCCTGGAAAAGACTCTGATGTTGGGAAAGATTGAGGGCACAAGGAGAAGGGGACGACAGAGGACGAGATGGTTGGACATGAGTTTGACCAGCATGAGTCTGACCAAGCTGCGGGAGGCAGTGGAAGACAGGAGTGCCTGGCATGCTCTGGTCCAGGGGGTCACGAAGAGTTGGACACGACTAAACGACTAAACAACAACAAACTTGCTTTACAAACTACAGTTCCCATGATTCTTTGGGGTGCAAGTGCTGTGATTCTGCTGTATATATAATGCAGATGGGGCCTTTGTCTAATGCCACAGATTGGTTGTTTGCAGCATCCAAGGAGGCGCTTGACCAAATAGAGCTGCACTGAGCTGTCAGTCATAATCAAGGAGCAGGAAGTGAGGCATGTGCAGCCCACACCAGCTGCTTGCTGCTGCAGGGTTAGGGAAAGACTGAGTGGGTGAACAGCAAGCTGCCTGGGCCAGTCGAAAGAGGTGCAAACTGGACTCAGGGAGAGGCTAGTTGTTCCCCTAGCAACTGTGGTCCCCTCCTCCTGGAGGTCCTCCTCCTCCTCCTCCTTCTACCTGGTCATAGGAGGAGCCAGCATGCCTGCAATCAAAGCTAGTTGGCTAGTTATTTCCAAGCAGCACCTGAAATTCAGCCGACCACCTCTTGGTCCCTTATGCCACAATCCTGCCGTGACCATAGGAGCAAAAGCTGGTGGGATTCTCCCTTCTATGCCGTTCTTGAAAGCACAGGAGCTCCATTGGGGTCTTTATCTGGTTGATCTCTGCACCCAACCCTTAGAATCCTAGGATGTTAGAGTTGGAACAAACACCAGAAGCTGGCTTATGCTTAGTCAAACCATTTGTCCACCTAGCTCAACATTGTCTGCAGAGGCTTTCCAGAGTTTCAGGCAGGAGCCTCACCCAGCCTTACCTTGGAGATGCCGAGGATTTAACCTCGGTTCTTCTGCATGCAAAGCAGGTGCTCTACCACAGCCCTTCCCCTCTGTTGCTTTGGTTGAGCTGCCAATAACCTTTGGTTTTCTGACCCTTAGGCTCCTTGCTTTTTATGACTGCTTCCCAGTTGCTTTTTAGTCCTTAGCCTGTCCCAACCCTAGCCTTCCCTAGGTGAAGTTTTGGTCTTAGCACAAGTACCTTTTCTCATGAAAGCTGGGCTGTGAATGTTTGCTTTTGCTGACAGATCTCCTCCCAAAGTCATGGAGATGTTTGCAGACATTTCGGCAGCATTGTGCTAGGCGAGGGTCGGAATTGGGAAAGACGGTGGGATCTGAGATTAAACCTCTGTCTCTTTAAACGTTTGCAAAGAGCAACTTGGGAGAAAATGAACTGGAGCAAGACTAAGGTCCCTTTGCTGTTTCAAGCCTGCCTCTCCTCCCCAAACTCCTGTTGGTCCCCCTGCCCATGAGGAAAAAAGAAATCAGTATCATGCTCTCAGGGAACTGACATCGGAGCCAGAGGCGGAGGCTAGGCTCTCAAGCGATGCTGGAGAAGGGCCCAGCAGGGAGAGAGGCAGCTCACCAGCTGGGGAAGGAAATCAGCGTAACACCAGGGATAAAGGGGGGCAGATGGGGGAATCGGCGAGAGGGCTCCAGGACTCCTCGCCGGAGACCAGCGGGGAGAGCACGGGTCCTCCGCTACCCACACCCTCCCTGCGCAGAAGACTTCCGCGCAGGGAGAGTAGGAGGAGACTTGGGGTCAAACAGCTTTTATGCTGGAAAAGGTTTAAGAAACGCCCACTGACGGATAGTGCTAGCGACTGAACAGCCACGAAGTGAAGGGCTGTCCAGACAGAAAAGGTTTAACAAGGCAACCTAGCCAGGAGTGGCGGCAACTTACGCACGAGCAACCCCTATATTTATTACACATGCCTACATATTTTCTTCTTGGAGACTTGTAGTAACTTTGGGGAGCAGTGAAGAACAGGGGTAATGTAGGTGTGGCGTAAAATGCCCCCCCCCCACATTGCACTGCTGATCCAAATGCCCCCAGTTTTTATTTTCTTTTTGCAAGAGTGTAAAGGCACTGGTGATCCAACCCCAGGACTTCCGTTGCCTCATTTGGTGCTCAATTAGCTAGTAGGGGAGGCTTCACTGCCATAAATAAGCTTGATACAAAACAGATTATTCTGCCTAGGGAAGTAAGGAAAGCACAAGCCTGCTGCTTGCTTTGAGAATCCAAAGCAAGAAACTAAATTGAGGATTGAATGTGATGGCTAAAAAGATCTGCACAAGTTAACTGCAGTGAGCTTGTTTGTTTTTGCTTGCATGCTGAATTTCACATTTTGTTTGGTTTCCTTCCCCCGCCTCCAGTTTTACAAGTGTTTCATCCTTCTCATAAAATGCGGGCCTCCACCAAAGCAACTGCAAACTACTGTGAATTCAAAAGCAAGCCAGGATTTCAACAATGCAGCTGGTGGAACGTTGGACATCCATTTGTCCTGCATGCAAACAGATGAAAGGCCAAACTAAAGGGATGCTGGGCTCCCTCCTACAAGGAAGCAGAAAACTCCTGTGGTTTCACTATGAGTCCTGGCTTGAAGAGGCTTGTTCTGGCATCTTCAGCCTCATGCCCATTTGATGACTTGCACCTAGACTTCCAGACTGATCCAAAGTCACACGTGCTTGCTCAAAACTTTGAGAGCAGTTAGAGGTGAGTGGAGGACCTTCTCTCTAGAAATGCCCAATGCTACCCTGCTTGTTGCTGGAGTGTAGCACCAGAGTGACGAAGCGTGAACTCTGCTGTATGGAAAAGAAATCAGAAGATGCTGTCAGCTTTTTAGGTTTTGCACAGGAGAGCAGGTGACTCATTGCTGCCTCTCTCTGCCAGCCAGTTCCAGTCAGATGCCTGTCCACACTACCACAACTTTATGCCAGCTTTATTGCAGTTTAAATGTTGTGGCTTCCCCCAAGATCAGAGGCGTAACTAGGCTCTCTCCCACCCTTGGCAAGGAGATTTATTGGTGCCTCCAAATCAAATGGAGATCATGGACCAGAAACTCAAAAGGTTTTGTTGTCACCTTCTGGGCTCTGCAAGTGACTTCCTCCACGGCCATTAGTGACTTCTAATGCCATGAGCATTAGAAACTACCTTATACTGTTGGCCTTTGTAGGCTAGGCATCCTCAGTATTCTTTTGACTACAGTCCCCATCAGCCCTAGCCAAGGACGATGGGACTTTTAGTCCATAGCATCTGGAAGGCACCAGTTTGTGGAAAGGCTGATGCAGCCCAGTTACCGTCAACCCAAACTGAGAACAACTGTCCAGGATCTCAGGCAGAGAGGGGCCTAACTATTGAGAGATACTACCTGCTACCTGTGCCTCCTCTCTCAATCTGTCTTGGCGTTTGTATACTTCCTGGTATGATGCAAGCAATGTCCTCAGGCCAGGCCTTGTGCAGAGCTTAGGCCGACAGCTACGCAAGGCACCGAGAAGAGCTCAGGTGTTGCTTCAGCGACAGCCAGAGCTCATCCAAACTTACGCTTTTCCCGCTGCTTTCCTCCTCTTTACCACTGAATTGGAGTAAACATCAATTGGGTTTTCTGCAGATTAGTGTTTGTTCTGATTCAGCAATGAAGAGTCGGTTGTCCCAGGAAAAGCAGTGGGGCAAACAGAAAAACTGCTCAAACCTGTGGCTGGAAAGCATGGGACAAGCAGAAACCTCTCAGACCCATGCTGTCTAGGCATGGGACAAGTTTGAGCATGGACAAGCCCTCAGACGGAGCCCTATGGTGGTAGGTATATCCCAGTTGCAAGCTCCACCTTCACTGCAAGGAGGCTCTGTGATGATGGAGTCCTCCAAATCAGAGATTGGCACTGCTTCATCTGTGAGCCAGAAGAGCTCTGGTGCCACATGCTCATATTGTGGATGTGCTTCTGGGATGCACTCTGTGTGCCATTTCCCCTTCCGAACTAGAGTCCCTAGTCTCACCTGGGATCATGAGACGGGAACGATTCCTGGCTCATAATGCCACCCAACTCACCCTGTCTCCTAGGTGGTTCAGAAATAGAAGTCAAGAAATGCAAATCCAACCAGCGAGAGGCTTAAAAAAGAAAAGATCAATGCAGAACCCACTGTCAGCATAAAATGAGCCTGAAACTATTGTCAAGTGACACGAGATCACTAAAAACATAGCACTCCAACCCAATGAAAGAGGGAAACGAAAGAGATGTAAACAGGCTGGAAGAGCAACGGAATCTCCACCTGATGCCTACTTGTGTCAGTGTGATGTGGCCGGTGGTGGAGCTTCATGCTCTGGCACCGGGGGGGGGCAGAGAGCAGGCGGGAGCGGGGCTGGCGCACGTCCCGGGGGTGTGGCACGCCGCCTGTGGGGGTGTGGCACCCAGCGTGGGTGGGGGGCAGCCGCAATGGCACCCCACCAGGATCGCACTGCCAGGGGTGGTGCGATCCCCTTGCACTCCTCTTCCTCCGCTAGTGGATGTGGCTGCCATTTGTCAGGCTGGTTCTTCCAATATGTTTCTCCATCTTGAATCTTGAATCATGGAGGATCATCTAGTAAAACCCTGTGCAGCTGTCTGCAGCCTTGTTGTTATCAGCACCACGCTTTAACAAACTGAGCTATTTTGGGATGCTACAGCTGATAGGACTTGCAGTCCAAAACACCTGGATAGCACTAGATTGAGGAAGCTCTGGGATAGTGTGTCAGACCAGGCCTAGGGAAATTCAGAGTTCATATCTTGCCTCTGTCCTGAAGCTCATTGGGTAACCTCAGGCCAGTCTTATCCCAATCCCTCTCAAAGGGTTGTTGCAAGAATAAAATTGCAGAGGTGGGGAGAATCATGTACACCACCTTGAATTCCTGAGCAGCGTAGAAATGTAATAGGATAATAAATCTTACCATATGAATTGTCCCAGACCCTGTGATCATTATTTTAGGTCCTTTTTCATGTGCCTCCTCCATGAGAGGTCTGGAGGATGGCAACACGAGAATAGGTATTTCCTGTGGTGGCTCCACATTTGTGGAACTCTCTCCCCAGGCAGGCTCCCCTAGCATGTTCACTACATTATCTTTAGGCACCAGGTGAAAATGTTTCTCTTCAACCAGGCCTTTGGCTGATTAACATTCTCTGGCCTTTTACATGTGTCTGTCAGACGGGGGTTATTGGTTTGTGTTTGTTTTATTCGTATTTTGTGTTCTCATTTTCTGTGTCTATGTTGTGAACTGCCCTGTGATCTTTGGATAAAGGGCGGTAAATAAATTTAATTAAACAAAAAACAAAAAAAAACAAATAGATGACCATCACAACTGGGACACCACCATAGAACACACCCTCTCCCAATAACCACTTGTCTTACCTGCTTCTGTGGCCCGCAGAAGGTCATGCATCCCCCACCCCTGAAATAAATAAGATAAATAAATGGAACATTGCTTTGATGGGACATAAGCCATCTTTTTGTGTTGCAGCTAGAGCCCCATGACTCAGTATCCTGGTTTCAGAGTCCTCCCAAGTACAAGCACTCCATTTTTGTTAAGTTGTGGGTGAACATATCAGACGACACAGTGATTCTTCAAACAGCTCTTGTTTATTCAGAGGCCAGAACAGAACTGACTGAAGGGCTCAGTCAGCCTGCTTATATAGAGCTCCAGTACAACGTTACTGTAGCAACTTTCTAAAACTATCCAATCACTGAACGTCACTTTCGATCCTTCATTTGCATACAAACTATCCAATCACTGAACGTCACTTTTGATCCTTCATTTGCATAACTATCTACAGTATCCCCCCGCTGGCCCCGGGTGAGAACTTCAGTACATAACAGTTTTCATTTGCTGGTTGTTATAGAGGATCTGTGTGCCTCTTTGTCATGTTTAAGATTAAAAAATAAGGCTCTTGCTGATTGACTTGTCTCTGGCTCTGTTTTGCTAGACCTAGACATGGCTGATCTGAGCTTATTCCACATGTGATTATGGTACACTTTATTACAATTTCATTCAGAAGTACAATTCCCCACTCCCAACACTTGCACACTTGCAGTTCAAAGAAATGTAGTCCATTCTACTATTCAACTTGTTTTGCTGGATTTGTCAATAAAATTGTATAAAACAGGCTGCTGAGTGCTGCAACAAATTGCCCCAATTATCTGGGCAGTGAAGAGAGATCGTTATGGGCCTGGATTGAGAAAAATCCTGTACTGAGCAGTGTGGGTGGGGTGGGAGGGATGAGTCTCTTCTGAGTTTAAAACTGGATAATCATGGAGCATCTCTGAAAAAACGAGTAACTTAGGGCCCCTTCAGATGAGCCTTTGTTCTGATCTGCTTGCACAAGGTTTATCTGCACGTTAGACTGCACCCAGTCTTTACTGAGCTTTTATTCTGATTTGTTCGCAGGGAGGTTATGCAATGATGAGCATTCATATTGATTTGCTTGTAGATTGTTTGTAGTCTTCTCACATATCATTTGTTCACCCCACACTTTTCATTGCACTTCCCCATCACTTTCTAACTGCAAAAAGTCCATGGGGCCTCCAAACTGGAGTTCTATGGTGGGTGTATTTGGAAAAACAATAGTACATCACACAATAATAGTACATTAGTCATGGATATATTCTGTTCCTTGATGCCATCATATTATTGTTGCCCAGGGGACGTGGTATCGTGCAACAGAAGTGGGACAAAAAATAAAGCTTGGGACAGTTGTGGTATTAAAGGTTACAGAATTTCATCAGGAATAATAATAATAATAATAATAATAATAATAATAAATTTTATTTATATCCCGCCCTCCCCAGCCGAAGCCAGGCTCAGGGCGGCTAACAACACTAAAATAGTGCAACATTATAAAAACATTATAAAAATCAATTAAAATCAAAATTGATGGCAACCATAAACTAAAGTTCTGTAAAGATTGCCAAAGGAGGGAGTCAGGCTGCGCTCTGACCAAAGCCCTGGTGGAACAGCTCTGTCTTGCAGGCCCTGCGGAAAGATGTCAAGTCCTGCAGGGCCCTTGTCTCTTGTGACAGAGCGTTCCACCAGGTTGGAGCCGCAGCCGAAAAAGCCCTGGCTCTAGTTGAGGCCAGCCTAACCTCTCTGTGGCCTGGGACCTTCAAGATGTTTTTATTTGAAGACCGTAAGTTTCTCTGTGGGGCATACCAGGAGAGGCGGTCCCGTAGGTACGAGGGTCCTAGGCCGTATAGGGCTTTGAAGGTTAAAACCAGCACCTTAAACCTGATCCTGTACTCCACCGGGAGCCAGTGCAGCTGGTATAGCACCGGATGAATGTGATCTCACAGCGAAGACCCTGTAAGGAGTCTCGCCACGGCATTCTGCACCCGCTGGAGTTTCTGGGTCAGTCTCAAGGGCAGCCCCACGTAGAGCGAGTTACAATAATCCAGTCTGGAGGTGACCGTCGTGTGGATCACAGTGGCTAGGTCAGGGCGAGAGAGGTAAGGAGCCAACTGCTTAGCTTGGCGGAGATGAAAAATGCCGCCTTTGTTATAGCTGCAATCTGCGCCTCCATGGAGAGGGAGGTATCGAAGATTACACCCAAACTCTTAACGGACGGTGCTGGCACTAATTGCACCCCCGCAAGAGATGGGAGTTGCACCCTCAATCCCATATCATCCCGTCCCAGCCAGAGGACCTCTGTCTTCAAAGGATTTAACTTCAACTGGCTCCCACGTAACCATCCAGCCACAGCTTCCAGACATCTGGTCAGTGTGTCTGGGGCCGAGTCAGGATGGCCATCCATCAACAGATAGAGTTGGGTGTCATCGGCATACTGATGGCAACCCAGCCCAAAACTCCGGACAAGCTGGGCGAGGGGGCGCATAAAGATGTTAAAAAGCATCGGGGAGAGAATTACACCCTGAGGCACTCCACACACCAAGGAGTGGCGCGATGACAATTCCCCCCCAAGCGCCACCCTCTGTCCCCGACCAGAGAGAAACGAGCGCAGCCATTGAAGGACTGTGCCCTGGATCCCCACGTTGGCAAGGCGGTGGTCCAGGAGTTCGTGATCAACCATGTTGAAGGCTGCTGACAGGTCTAAAAGAATCAGCAGCCCCGACCTGCCTCGATCCAGCTGCCTGCAGAGATAATCTGTTAGGGCGACCAGAGCTGTCTCGGTCCCATGACCAGCGCGGAAGCCAGATTGGAATGGATCCAGAGCCGATGTTTCATCCAGAAACCTACCAAGCTGTTCAGCAACCGCTCTCTCAATCACCTTACCCAGGAATGGAAGATTCGAAACCGGGCGGTAATTGGCTAGATCTAAGGGATATAATGATGTTTTGTTTAAGAGCGGGCGCACCACTGCCTCCTTCAGTTCCCCTGGGAATGTCCCGGTGCCAAGGGACAAATTGATGATATCCCCCAGGAGGGCCCGCACCTCGTCTGGACACGCTCTAATCAGCCAAGACGGGCATGGGTCAAGAGGACAAGTGGTGGGCTTTCCAGCTCAGAGGAGTCTGTCCACATCGGCTGGGGATATCCGGTCAAAGTGGTCCAATACTGGACCCGAGGACAGTCGAGGGGCCTCCAGTTCCTTTATTGTTTCCAAATTGGCAGGGAGGTCATGGCGGAGCAACAGGACCTTCTCCGCAAAAAAGCTCGCAAATGCCTCACAGCTGTGTGTCAAATTGTTGTTTAAATTTGGCTGTCCGAGGGACGTTAAAGACTGAATTATACTAAATAATTGCGCCGGGTGAGAGCTAGCGGATGCAATGGAGGCCGAGAAGTAGGACTTCTTAGCGGCCTTCACTGCCATCTCGTAGGTTTTCATAAAACCCTATAAGATGTTCTTGAAGCTCCGTCACGGGCACCCCGCCATACTCACTCTAGCCGTCTGAGGTCCCGCTTCATTTTCCGGAGCTCCTTGGTAAACCAGGGAGCCCGGTTTCTGCGGGGTCGCAGAGGGCGCTTAGGTGCGATCTCATTGATGGCTGCCAGGAGCTGGGTATTCCAGCCCTCAACAAGCTCAGTCAATGAGTCACCAGGGGGAGCAAGGTCCCGCAAGGCTTGACAGAATCTATCAGGGTCCATCAGCCTCTGTGGGCGAGCCCAAATCGGCTCGCCACCTAAGCAGGGTGGGGGTGGAACGTCAATCCTGGCTTTCAGAGCGTAGTGATCAGACCATGTCACCTTCATCGAAGGAAACATGATCACATCTATACCAACGCCAAAGATCAAATCCAGCGTGTGGCCTGCTTGATGTGTGGGGCCCGAAACAAACTGGGAGAGCCCTAGTGTTGCCATGGAAGACACCAGGTCCAGAGCCTGTGAGGAGGGAGTGGCATCAGCATGGATGTTGAAGTCCCCCAATACCAATAGGTTAGGGAACTCCAAGGCCCAGCCGGCCACCGCCTCCAGCAGGCCTGATAGGGTGGCTGCTGGTGCGCTAGGTGGCCGGTACACCAGCCAGACAGCCAAGCTCACCTCGGAGCCCCACACTAGGCCAACACATTCAATGCCGGGGATCGATGGCGATGGTAGAGCCCTGAAAGAACAATCTTCCCGGGTTAATAATGCCACCCCTCCCCCCCGGCCCACAGTCCGCGACTGGTGGAGGACGGAGAAACCCGGGGGCAACATCTCTCGTAAGGTAACAGTTTCCCCTTCGCGCACCCAGGTCTCCGTCACACAAGCCAGGTCGACCCCCTGCAAGGTGAAGAAATCTCGCAGGGTAGCGGTTTTGTTGCCTATAGACCTGGCATTGCACAACACCAGTGACAGAGGTGAGTAATCCTTGCTCACCCTACCCTCGTCTCTTGGGATGGGGCGCAGATTGGAAGGGGTACGAGCATATCCGTATCTCGATCCCCTTCGCCTATGACATCTGCCCCCACCACCATACCTCCCTCGCCCCTCCACAGTAGGAATCCCAAGCCTCATACTCGCCTCCATTTACAAAATATAAAAGCAAGCAAACAAACAAAAAGCAATTACACCAAAACAAAACCAATCCCCACCCCACTCAACAACCATACCACCCCAACCCAAAATAAAACAAAACAAAATAAAAATACATGAATAAAAACCACCATTTATGGTGGTACAACAAAGTAAAAAGTAAAAACACCTTTAAAACACTTTAAAATATATAAAAACATTTTAAACATTTGCTGCAGAGGCAGCAGTGTCCTGAAAGTTGTGTGGTGGTGAGTGTGGGCCCCGCCCCCTGGCCTGGTGAAGTGGGCTTGCAGGGGGAAGAGCCCTCCCCACAAACTCACGGCGAAGCGGCAGCAGGAAGTTCCAGAATGTGCACCAACTGGAAATGAAGCAGTATGATTGTCCTGAAACCCTTGCAAGCATAAACTGTGGACTCAGCTGAGAGGGGGGAAAGCCATTTTCCATAGTGTTTCTCCCCCTTTTGTTATAATGATTTTTAATTTATGATTTATTTATAGAGGGTTTTTTTGCTGTGTGTAGATCAACCCAAGTAATAAAAGCAGGATCGCATGTGGCCACCTCAGTAGCATCATGAGACCACATTTTCTTGAATCCACCATAAAAAGGATGTCTGGAGGGCCCCTGATGCTTTTCTTTTTTAATGGAGTTGTTGTGCTGGGGGACAGAGCACTTTAATCCAATTAATCCTTCCTGCAAAACACTGCCAGTCTGGGGGCACCCATAGTGAATCAGCTGGTGCAGAGACATAGAGTAACTCTGCCCAGAAGAACCCAGTCGGAAGAAGGACAAGTCAGAGCGATGTATACTACAAAGGTGTGGCTGCAGATTTAATGGGGGCATGGATATATACAAGTAGCCAACACTGGATTGGGAAGAGCCAAGCTCTTTTGAGGGGGGGGGTTAATAATGCTGTGTCTCTGCACCAGGAGCAAATAAAGGAGCTGATTGGGGCAAATGCACTCTGTCCAGAGCAGGTGCATCAACTCTTAG